ATACTGCAACAAATCACGATAAAAAACGCTATGTTCATTAGTCTCACCTAGATGGAAGACGACAGATCTATAGTTGAGATGTCTACTGGCGAGACATAGTTGATATCTCAATCTGGTAACCGTTGAACTCTTCCACAGAGCACTAAAAATAGAATGAGTGAAGCATCAGGGGAACTCTAGGATCGAGCACAGACAGAAGCGGCTGCATTCTACTTCACGGATACTCTAGGTTCTAGCACAGACTGAAGCGGCTGCATTCCACTTCAGGGACAGCGAAGTCTCATGCACACAAAATGCTAATCCAAGCAATTTCTCCCATTCGCACTCGCGATTGACCGTTCAGGAATGGTCAAAAAATGGCAATGTGTTCGTTCCGCAATCCTAGTTTTTATTATGGATCTACTCAAATCGAAATGGAAGTTACCAGGTATCAATAACTCCTCCGATAAGGGTCGAACAACCATTGAGTCTTCCCAGCAATGGGTTAACAACAGTGATTTCAAGTGGAAGGGGGTTACTAAAGTGAAATGTTAGTGTAGAAAAGTCACTTTCAAAGGAAGTTTAGGAGGGATTCCGGGAACGAAGTAGGAAAGTACAAAGTATGATGGAGGAATTTACGATAAAAACGGTCAAAGAAGGAGAAAATTGCATAGTTGGGAACGAGCTCCTGAGGGTGCTGACCGACGCGCAATTGGCAGCGAAAGATTTGACCTCGGCGATCTAGCATGGCTCACTCTTGGCGCGGTTGGCGGGGTACGCCCACCGACTATCTAATCACTCGCCGCAGGTCTATACGTGGCGAGTGATTAGATAGCAGAGAGCGTAGTGTTGAAGAGAGTCGCATCAATGCGCAAATCAACGGGCAAGGAAGGGGTCCCATTTCTCGGGTTTCGGGCCGTTTCAATGGTTTCTTCTTCATCCCTGCTCCACTGACCACCTCTACCCTTATTTCCAATAAGCTAACTTTTCATCGTGAATTCTGCCTTTAAGTGATGGCAGATTCAGTGACGCTATCTAGGCCATCAACCGTGGAGGGGATCGTTAATGTAAAATCGGCAAATGTATCAACGGTGATCCTACACCCCTAAGCAACCCGTCTGTACTACACCAAAACGACCTAATAGTGCAATGATAATGAAAAACTCACAGAAGTGGTTCCACTTTATGTTTAGTTGATTTTATGGAAATGTTGTGAAAAGTCCAAATACTTGAGCGCATTTTGAACTCAAGATCAGACAAGTCCTGGAAGCTGAAAAAAGAAACTATGATAGAGATGGTATACGGCTTAAATAGAAAGTGAAAACACTTCGGAGACGGCAGAACTTCATTCAGCGGTTTTCAAAAATGATCAAGTGTGGAGAGCCTTCTACTTGAATTAACCTACATCCGAACTGCATGCGCGCCTAGCTGACGAGTTGAAATGGAGAGAAAAGAAGCCATGCTTCGATTTATTGACATCGTTTACTGAGCCCAAACGGTCGCACAAGAGTGACATTATCGGGCAAAAATTTCATTATCGTTTTCACGCACACGGTATCGAAATGGTGAAACCTGCTTCGCTCTGGAACTGGGACGTTTCGGGCACACGATTGAAAGAGGTCTGCTCTCTTGTGGAAGATAATGAAGGCTTGGAAAAGAGGTCCTCATGGTCACTAATCACACGAGTGCAACACGAGTTCCGTCAACATCTTTATCCTGTTCCATCCCGTGGCTGAGCAACGCCATTACTGCTGATGAGAAGTGGTCGATCTATACCAATCACTCGCAGAAGGCGCCGTGCCTGCAATGCATAATGAAGGGAGTGAAAACCTGTCAAATTCAGAAAAAGTTTTGGCCTATGTATGGATAGCAAATCGCGAATCAGCCCCTACGAGGTCCTCCCCACCGTCGGCCTCGTAATCTAGCCTCCTGAAAACAAAGTCTGACGCTTCCAGGAAAACTTCACCTCACCCCCCCCAAATCAATGAGAATGCCTCTCTATGATAATTCAAGACCACTGCTGCGACGATGACAAGTTCCGCCCTTCCGAAGCCTAGTGATGCCTACCCATCTACCGTAGAGTGGATCAGCTTCCTCCCAAAAGCAACTTTTACCTTGCTAAGGAATCGGTCCTAAAAACAAAAAATACCCAAAGAGAAGTCGAAAATGACCGCACTGCCTTTTCAGTCTGCTTACTGCGGACCTTCGGGTACGCACGGTATACGACTTTCGGCGATTCGTTAGGCCACAAGATTAAATGGATCATATGTTGATGATGGAGATTGCTTATTGGCGAGATAATGTTAACTCAAAAAAAAATGTTTGAATCTGGCAACAATTTTTGGGACAACCCAAAAATTTTCTTCTGTATGTCTATAATTTGAGTTCTGCAACTAAGCCATAAAGGTTAGTTTCAGAAAGGAAGCGCCCAGTGAGTTCGCTAACTCATTTCCTTGAATTGGCAAGATGAACTTTTCGGAAGATCTGTTCTTATGCAAAACCAAGACAGTTCTCGTGAGATGTGATGCAGATGCAACAGAATGTTTCACAGATGACAAACAAATCAGCTGAACAGTAACTCGCAGCACTGTACTCACTGTCGCAATCAAGGAAACTTATAGAGGATCCACTTACAACAGCTTGAGATTTCTTGTGGGTGGGTACTTTCCAGTAAATTCTTCATAGTTGAATATCCGGGTGACCACCCTTGAATGCCAAATGCAGTGCAATGGAATTCCGTGCTTTGCCAAACATCGAAGATATCGCATCAATATAGACTAAACGAAAATACGACAGAAATATCACAAAAAAGCCCAAAACTTCTAACACTCACTTGTCTCATTGATAAATTCCATCGATGGTTCAAGAGATCGCAAAACGATCTTATTAACCTTATTATAGCGTCCACATCTAAACAAACATGTTACTAGATAAAAGTTTACACCATGCTCACACGATGACGTGCTCAAGACTTTTCACACTCCTCCTCCTACTGCTTTTGAATCGAGTGGTCATCTCTTAACATATACATACCCTTGATCGGGAATAGTCACGAAAGTTGCTTTTCAATTGAAATAAAATTAAACTACTTCAAGATTGATTAGACGGAGCGTTATAAATCTCAGGTGAAGGATCCAAAACATAGCCCTAATCAACATTACAGTCGATACGTAACAATACGATTGATAAATCCCCACAACATTACCCTGGTTGACCACTTGGAACTAAGTTGAAAGAGAAAACCAAATTTACAGAATTCACTTACTTTCATCGCACTGCCAATTCAACAACGCTCGCAGCTCATCTTCAACAGTGTAGAATAGCTGTGTTGGATCAATTCCATCAACGGTTCGCACTTCGCGGGGTAACTAATAATTTATATGAGATTCCTTGAATTTTCGTGATAATTTCGAAAAAAAAAGTTGAAATAGTTCAAAGAAATGTGGCAAACTGTGGTAGTAATCATTGAGGTAGCTATGGAAGAAAACTTAATATTTATGTTGAAACATATAATGCGAACCGCCATGATGCCAGACGAACGTATATGATTATTTGAACGAGAATCAGTCCAGTCAGACAGACACTCACCCAACTTCGATACATAAAAGCCCTACATAAAAGTGGAAGCACGCCATGAGATCGATTTCGAATGAAGTCAGGGATCTTAGCATCCGCCTTCTCCGGATTCATAGAGAATTTTAGTGCCGGAAATTGGTTGCCATGATTCACGCCGCCCACTTTTCCTCCCCGAAGGGCCTACAAGACCCTCAATTGGAGGCCCACTTTTCGCAACGCCCACCATTACCTTTTCCCCTTTAGCAAGTGTGGAGAATGTCTCGTCGACAAGTAAAGTTGAACAGAGTTTCGGGGAACAATCTCCAGCGGGGTATTGTTGCATACAGCTCAGATCTTCACTTCTATACGCTGGAGAAGCTATCGACGCCACGTTTTGCCCGAAACGAACGTTCTACCTCTCTCTTGCAATAGCAGATCTTCCTACGCTCACCCAGTTCCACACTTATCATACCTAAGACACATGTCAGACTTTGTAAATAGCTCAATTTGTCTAACTAGCGCGACTTGCTAAAAAGTCAAGCAATTAAAATTGTGATTCGATGGCCCCAAAAAGCCGTTCAACGTCCCCGAGGGGACAATCATTAGTATTTGATGTCCCAAAGTAGTCGGTGGCTACATAGGTAACATAGTCACTCTCGCCGGCTCCTTTGGGACATGAGATGGTGACTCAGTTCCTCGGGGCAATTGACATTAAAATTAAACGTCTAGCTATTGTCTCTAACGAATCTGACATCTTACCACCAAATTCTGAAGAAAAACCCACACTCAACTTTAGGTCTGCGGGTCCTCCCACACCCTGACATTTTCCTCATTCTTTCATCCCTACATCTGCCATAGCACCTCCAGGATGATCCCGACTACAATGATCTGAAATAGATTGTCATCACCCCCATCCTCCTTCAATCTTCAAACACCAATGCCTGTAAATTGAACATGACAATTACTCAGATACCACATCGGGAAATCTTCAAGAAGGCGATAATCCATATATAGTTCGAACGACGATTCGCTAGCGATCCTGGATACGACGTTCGCGCCACGAATCGACGTAAATGTACCCACCGACTCAACTCGTGGCGGGACCCAACGTTTTAAAGGACCCACGATTCGCCAGCAAAATCGCTCGATCGCATACTAGACATCGGCTAACATTTGCCCCTAAAAGGGAGTCTATCAGGCGCAAACAACGCTTTTCAAAAGGTTCTTTCGGCGCAATGTAGAAACACAAAACAATGTTCATTTTTCGCGAATGGTCTTAGCATAAAACAAAAGAAGCATAAGGTACTGTTAAGGTTCGATCCCCCGTGGCGACCAAATTTTGCATTTGGGTTGGCGCCTACGGTTTGGTGCCAAATCGCGCTAAATATCAAAATCAGATGTCAAATTCATCGTCAGGACCATTTTGAAGCCAACAAGTGACCGCCAAACTTGATTGCAAAATTTAGTCGCCGCGGGGATCGAACCATCAGGGTATCATTCACCACTTTTTTGATACTACTAAAACCGTTCAGCGAAAACGAAACATGGTTTTGGTCCATACATGCGTCCCTACAATATGCAAGCTCGTATAACGCGGCTGTCTTGAAAGACGCCCCTGTGAGAGGTGTGGAAAGCGCAAGGGTTAAGCAAACAGGCACAGCAATTGTCTTCGAAGATCGCCGCGCGGTCCCTCTCGCTGCAACATCCTTCAGTAATGCCCAATATAAACTGGTACAACTTTTGCGTTAGCGGTAAGCTTCTTAACACAGGGAATCGATACTCTTAGGTCGACCCAACACAATATGAACAGCAAAGGTTTACGGACTACTTGATTTTTCCTCAATGGTCCTGCAGCGATGGCTAGAGCACAGACGATTAGAGAACGGATGTGCCCTAGAATTATCCTTGAAAAGACTCGCGAAGAGGCGTTTGAAGGCTGAGGGCAAGTATCCCTGACAAACACAAAAATTCCCTCCCCCCCCCAACTCCTCAGCATCGCAATCCGATTGTACTTTCAACACGTCCTTCAACTTTGTGCAGACCTTTCTAGAAATATCTGATACCTAGAACACAGGTAATAGGACCAGACTGTTTCCTTCTGTCAACAGCAGCTTGAACACTTGCATCAGCATGTCTTCCCCCCTCCCTAGAATAGCAGACCTTGTCCCTGCGAGAGACAGGGCACAGCTTAGGGACAGTTCAAAAAACGGAAACAAAACAGCATGCGGGAAGAAAACGACCCCATTACCCTACTTTTCAAACTTTCCTACTGTAGCAACACGTTAAACAAAGCGTCTCGGACGTAATTACAGAAGACGCTCTTTCGCTGTCACGCACACTCACATTTCATCGAGCGTTTACACTTCCAACTTTCGCATGGTCAGAACCGAGCCTACCCCTACCTTTCTGAATTTCTACTACCCCTTCCTTGTTGGATACCAGTCCAGGAAAAGAATTGGGGAGGGTCCATGTGCAAACTGCCCCTGAACCTACAATCTCTGAATCACGTTAAAAAGTTCGTTACCCCCTTCAGCGTAATCGCCATGTTCTCAAAAGTCGGTGATTAATTAGAAACGGTGAGCGGAACGGTTGCCATCGAGATTTTCTCTCACTGCGATAACTGATTACTGAACTAACCCAATCCCGTTTTCTCCTCCCCATTGCATAGCCCCCGAAACTTTCCCGTTTCTATCGGACAAGCCACCACTGACTGCTCGCCCTACTTCCCCTCCCTTTCAATTCCTTTCCTTTTTAGTATCATAGAAATTCAACTGAATAATTCATAAGCGCATATACTCAGAAACGGCTATAACGTCTTAAACATCTCCGCCGCTTCATTTCGCCGTATAATGTGACCGACTGCCGAACGTGACGATGCAGGACCTCGCCGCGTCATGGTGCAGCACGGTCGCCATGGTCGACTGGTCGAACCCGAGCCAACAGTTCACTTTGACGTTTGCAGTGAATGGTGTTGCTCATATTGAACGTTTTCGTGGATATTTCATCATGATGTCATTACCACAAACATTGCGCAACTCTCGTCGTTGGGAGCTTGCTGCAGTGCAGCGTAGTATTGGAACTGGTCCCCCCCTTTTCAACAACTCTCCTTTTCCACACCGTTTTCAATACCGGTAACTTTTTTCTCGACGCTATTTATAAACTCCTGTCATCTTAACATTTGTATGGTGCTCTTTCAAATGACGTTCCCAGGATCTTTCATAACATTAGAACCCGAGTTACCCACGCCCCACTTTCCCCGCGTTTCGTAAGACATCTCACATGGGCGCTGACCTGAAACACCTCAAATACTGTTTTTTATGTTTGTGTTAATGATGCCAATGACATCAAAGAGCCAATGTCCCTAACCCACATCACTCTGGGATGAATAGTACTGTCTGAATCTGCTCTCATTTCCTATTCCTATTTCACTTACGTTCACTTTCTTGTGGGTTCACGATTTCTCGTCTGAGTGTTCTATTTGTCACCTATCTTCGGAATCGTTACTCTCTGAAGCCGATTGGGCCGACTAAGTTCACCCTATGCGATCACATTGTCATTGACGATCGATTGCTAAGTTCGGCATCACATTCGTGTAGCCCAGAGCCGTTCATTGAAGACTGCGTCGAAATATTAGGAATCGCGAAAATGTCCACCGTGTGCAAGGACGGAAATCACGATTATTCTCAAATTGCCCCTATTCCGGAGAATACCGGGATCGGTATGGCATTGGGGTAGAGGCCCTTTTCGCACTCCACCGTGCAGTTCATGTGGACCATCTAATAATCTGAACCACCGCAGTTTTTTTTTTTCAAACCGGTGGCATTATTTATTCATTTCTTGTCATTTTGGTAAGTGATGATTTTATCCATTGCTGCACATCACAGTTGCTTCAAATCTTCTGAAACCTTACGTAATGTCTACAAAGGGTCGACGGATTACTTGGACTCGGTCCTTCAAGCCGCCTCAATCCGATGTCTCGTCTGCGCTCTCTCGCCTTATCAGCTGCTGATGACCACTGTGTTCTCACACATTCAAACTTTTGCCGAACTCACTCTCGAGTCCCTTTCCCCTCTAAGGCTCAGTCCAAGAGCTCACACTTTTGAGATTTGGACCGCCGAAGCCAGCGCCGTCATAATTGGTCTATTCGCCGCCATTTGTGCAGACCATAGAGGAAAGTCAAAGTAAACGAACAATTAACTCGTGCTCGTGCAGCAGCTGCTTGGTTTTCTCATAAGATTCATTACGAAAGTCGATTTCGACTACGTCCTCAACTTATTTGAGAATGCTCATCCATTAGCGTTCAAAGGGGCTTAATATTGAAGGTCTGGGTTTTTTTGGGTTCTGTTTTACCTGTTCATGTGTTTTGAGTGCCAGCGGTAGCTGAAGCTTCTGAACATTTAACACAAACCACCTTTTTCATGAAACCTCCATGCCTGATGTTCAATAAAAATTCTACGAGCACTAACGCGATCAACTATGCCTCAATCTCTGTATTTCTCTCAGAATCTTAACGCCAGAAATTTCGGCTGCCATATTAACATTCTATTGTTGCTTTGGTGTGATTCGCCGCTTCAGATGCCCATTGTTGATGTCGGTTCTCGCTTATGAATCCTTCTCCAAAACATACATTCTGTTCAACAATCGCATATCAAACGTAAGAGGTTTTTTTCATGGGGATTTCGGCATTTAGGAATTTCGATGTGTCTACAACTCTTTTTGAGAAGTAACCAGGAATTACACACATAAAGTGTCTTCGAGGCACACGGAAAGGATCGTTATTATTGAAGACAACTATCCTCTTGATCCCGTCAAAATATCTCACCCATCGCACAGCAGTGAACAATGCAATTAGAATTCCTTGTGCATAATTGCCCTAAGAGTTGTTGTGCACGTAGAAATCAGGTCAAGGATCACATATCTTCTCAAATACAGGGTGCCACGAGGTCTTAATTGTGTTGTAACTTGAATTGAATTGATGAGTTAGCGCACGGTTAACATCCCTTTAAGTTGGGGGACGATGGAGAGGTGAAACGGAGGAAGACTTTGCAAGGAATTTCAGCGAACAGCGTGCGTTTGGACTTTTTGCTCTTCGTACGTCTGATGTGACTTTCTCATTGAACACTTGACCCTAATTGATGTCCCACATTCCCCTCTGTCTACTGTTTTTACTGTGTCGGGTATGCCAAGGCTATTTGGCAGCTTCACGTTCGTTGACAGAAGGTAGACCAATTCCACTCATGCTCTGAGCATAAATCTCAATAATTTGTTGACGACCAGTCTTTAAGTCTTGCTCATATTTTCCTTTACGATTTACGAACTTTTTTCGTCGTATTAAGTGAAATTAATCATTTTTCCATACAACTGCTTATAATCCTCCAAAAGTGAAGTTCATGATGAAAAGTCAGCTCGTCATAAATTCGAGTTAGAGATAGTCAGTACGTAATAGTAATTTCTTTAGAAAGGGGTCTGGATTTGATTCTGCTCAATGATATTGGTGTGGAAAAGTTGAGATTTTGAGCGTTGCTCTTTCCTTTTGGGCCGGAAGGCAAAACTAGGGATTTCTGCCTTATCAGGAAGCAGAGCAATTAACAGACGAGCGAAATCTCAAGAGGTTTTGATCCATTCTACAGTATTGTTGGCTTGTGTGCTTGGTGGGATGCTGGGTTTTTTTTTTCATGAAAGAAAAGTGGTCCACACAGTAGACACCGAGAAAAGTCGCTTGGTTGCTCACGTGATAATAACGTTGACACATCAAGCTACTCCCTTTTTTCAATTCAACTCCCCGTTCAGTCGGTCGTGAGATTTTGGCTTCCAGGCATTCTGACTTCGTCGATCAACTTCATTTGCAGCGCAATAAATGTCAAAGCGCTCATTCGTATCGTGTCATGTTCCAGATGGCCTATGTTCCAGCGCGGCTCGCTGCTCCGTATTGAGCAACAAAAATGTCATATCCGCCCATCTTATAATAAAGCGTCTCACTGCTTCGTGTTTACATTAGCCCGCTCGTGCCTCCTGGTAGGAATTATGCTCGCGTCGGAGTTCATTCTATAAATTCTTCGAAATTGTGGAACGAATACTAGGATTAGGATCATTTGAGTTTTATGCTCCTCTCCCATATCCCATAATTTTCAAATATCTTGCCTAGGCTTGATCAATAGCCTCGCTATTTTGTCGACATAATTTGTCGGGCGGCGAATTCATGTCATGTGCCCTGAATGTGAATAGGGTTTTATAGATGGGACTCAATTTATCCGGATACGTTTGTATGCCGTATATGCTCCCCTCTGTCGTTGGGTTGTGTGGGTAAGCAATGGATACTTCACATTAGCTTGTTAATGTTCGTTTTAAAGGTGATTGATAATTCTGCTACCATAAAATCTGATCACTATATTTTAAGAAGCTGTAGACTTAGCTCCCCGTTTTCTTTTCAATCTGGATGCTGAAGGACTAGGCGATACCTGTCCAACTGCTGGGATTAAATCACCTTTTGAATGGTTTGCTGCTTCTTTTTGAAAGACGTTAAGTTTCTGATACTTTCTCCATAACGCGCAGAAGTGTTGCTGATTGAGTAATTTTGTAAACTTGGAGTCATGCTTGATTAATTGGGAGAATACAATCTTTAGGACTGTTGTAATGTCCGTTATGATTAGTGTTTTATGCTCGATGCTTCGTTGTGTACTAAAGGAATCCCATGGGAAAAAAAAAAAACCACCAGTATTTCAACTACAGCAAAATTGCGAGATTGACAAGATGAGGCAGTACGGATTACACTAAGGTTGTAAAATATAGCAACGTGTATGAGAGCGGACCATAGTTCTACAAGTTGTGATAACTAGTGTTGTTCAAATGTCATTGAGGGAAGTGCTCGCTCTCAAGCTTTTTGAAGTCGGGAGTTTTCACTAATTCATACCTTGAGCCATATGGGTGGCGAATCATATGGTTGGGATGTGATGCATTACCAGTTCCATTCTCCCAGCTCTTTTCCTTCACACCACCAAGGATTGGTCCGTGGAAGTTGCTGTTTTCAGCGCTCTGCAATACCGGTTTATTGAGCCTATTCGTAATAACTGTTCTGGTACTATTTAAAATTACGACTGAGCCAGATGAAGAGTCTATTGGGGAGTTCGTTAATTGCTTGAAGTAAACGAGAAATTGGTTGACTCTGCTTCACAGTTTGATAAAGTGTAATTCTTCTTAAATACTTCAAATTGAAATAGGCGTGATTATGAGCGTATTTCACATCCAGCAATCTCACGAAGTCTTTTGCTTCTTCCTGTGGCATTGTTCTCATTATAGTTTTGATCATTCGTTCATTGTTTACTGCTATGCTGACGTTTAATCGCTGTTTCGCCATTGATTCAGTACAAACTAGTCATAGCGGCAGCAGATGTGTTGCGATTGATGGTGACTCGAGGGTTGTTATTGTGGGCATTGATTTTATCGTTCGTTATCGAGTCCTAGGCGTTCGCTACCAAATGACGTTCTTTTTTTTTCATTCGTCACTCATTTAATTCCAGTCGTGACCGTGTGAGTGGCTTATCGATTTTTGCCGTTTTTATTGTTAGGTTATACGAGTTGGTGTTTCTGTCTCATCATGGCTACGCCTGCAATGGAATGTGAGTGTAATTGGATTTTCAATTTTTGCTGTTATACTGCTTTCGCCTGATTTTCATAAGTTTATTCAATGTCAGTAATTTGAACAAGTTATAGCTGCTGACCCCGTGTTCGATACTTACGATGGTACGACACAACTAAGTGATGCTGAAACTGCTATTCTGAAGGAAGAATTGAGAAAGGTTATCTCATCTTGAGCGAGCTTCACTAATTTCGGTCATATCCATTTGCATATTTGTTTTTTTCCCCGACTGAAGAGAAATTCAAACTTGAAACGGTTCTTCTTGCCGTATAAGATGCATCGAGATAAAGGTAAGCTGAGGTTATGAATCCTAATAAACCATGATTGGTTGAGCTTGGACATGTATCAACACGGCTAGGGTACTGCTACGAAGCGTAGTTCTTTTTTGTTGTATCAAGATTGTTTGTCTTGATCAGGTGAATTTCACCGTAAACCGTTTTCGACCTTTAATTGCCGTACCATTAATTGTGTAGGAGATAGAGACGTTGCATGGACGAGATTGTTCACTGAGCTATTGGTTTTGAAGTGCGCTCGGCTGGGCTTAATTTCCTCGCTTGACCCTGCTCGTTTTCTAATCTGGCAGTGTCAGTTCGGGGATTTGCCGTTCATATTAAGAGCAGTGAACGCTTCCACACAGGGCGGTATTCAATCCTTCCCCCAGGGGTTGGGGGACGGAAATCCCTTTAAATTTATTTGTTTTAACGATGTAGTATCTCATTTCAATGCTGATTTCTGTTAGAGATAAATACTCCCTAAACCTTGACGCCTTTATCGAAGAATCTATTGGGAAGATCGGAGAAAATTTGAAGGGTTTTTGTCCCCACCCCTAGGAAGGATTGATCCACACAAGTTAGGACCTGCAGTCCCGTTTTTGAGCGCAGTTTCTCTTTCAGAGCAGTTTACATTTCTCTTTCTGGAAACATCCCATCTTACTTCAATTTGCTCGTGAAGACAGCTTTCCTCCAAGAGGGATAGTATTTCCACCCGGTGTTGTGGACGGGTACTTAATGATTGCTGTGTTACTTTGATTGGTTATCTTTTATTTTTCTGAATGCAGTTGAAAATTGGTCTTATTTAGGTGGAACGCGAAGTTACTGCGGTTTTTACCCTTGAGCAATTATTATGACGAATATGAGCCTA